GAAACCATGTGGATTTTGATGGAGAGGAGAAACTCATGGAAGAGAATGTTGCAGGAAGTTCATCAGGTTGTTGTGCATAGTTGTAGCATTGACGGCATGTGAGCGCACCATGACCTACCTTGCTATAAATCTGGCAAATAAGAGACGAATTGGTGTTTGAGTTTTGAGAATAGGTTGGAGGTCTATTACCACGACCACGATAAGCGCCGCTACGAGTGCCATGATTGTGAGAGGAGTGATGCTGATTGTTATGAGTATGATGCTGATTGTTGCGCCCTCTTCCTCGATCAGAAGAGAGCAGTATTTTCACGATCTGTACTTGGGTTTTGATAAATTTCAAATCGTTTCTCACGATTAAGAAGCATGTTGTAATTGATATAGTCTAAACAGAATTGACTATAACATCATAGTCAGGATCGAGTCCATGAAGGACACAACCAATCAAATCCATATCAGTCATGGGTTGCTAAATAAGAAAGAGCTCATATGAAAGCATTCTGATACGATCCATATATTCAGTGATTGAAGAAGATCCTTTCCGAATATTGGAAAGTTCATGTTTAATCTGATAATACCTAGCATTTGTCTCAGACATGTAGGCACAATCTAAGGCTGCCACTACCCATGTGTCATAAGAAGTCCTGTAACCCACAACCTGTGCGAGTACTTGAGGAGTTAACATAGCACGTAGCCAGCTAAGAAGAATATGATATTTCTTCTTCCATTCAAGGTATTTTGGATTTGGAGCCATTACAAAATTTTATAAGATAGTGGTTGGTGGCAGTGACGGAGCCAGGATTTCAAGTGAGGGGGGGCACATTGCCAAACAAAAAAAAAAAAACAATACGGAGTACACACACACACATATATATATAACAACTATAAAATTCAAAAAGACAAAGAAGAAGAAAATTATTAAAATATAAAAGGAAAGAAAAATGAAAGAACTTTAATAGGAAATAGTTAAAAAGTTTCAATTAAGGAAGAAAAATTTGACTTTTTCTACTAAGGAAATTTAAGGAATGTGAAGAGTAAAAGAAAAAATAAGAATTTAATTTTAGAAACTACAAATTTGAGGGGGGGCACTATATAAATTTTTTCATACATATGGAAATTTTTTTTAAAATTACCACATATATTATAGGTTGCTAACCAACTCAGGGGGGGCACGTGCCCCCCCTAGGCCTTCATTGGCTCCGTCCCTGGTTGGTGGACCTGTGATTGTGCCATCAACCATACTTAACATATCAGTCCCATAAAGAATGGGTAGGAGTTGGCTCTTCCATAACAAATAATTTGATCTATCAAGCTTGGGATTCCAGGAATAGGTGAGGAAGAGGAGAGAGATAGAGGTGAAGCATTGGTTGAAGTGGAAGAGGTTGAATCGGAGGCCATGAGATCATATTGTGGTAGAAAGCAGAGAGGGATTGTGAGATATTTACAAAAAAAAAAAAAAAACAACCATGTGTTTTAGGCTCTGATACCAAGTGAAAAACTGAGAATAGATGAGAAATAAGATAATAATTTGGAAAATGTTTACCACACTGAAATGATAGTGTCCTATTGTGTATTTATAGATACAATAATAAGAGAGATATTCTCTCAACGAACTTATCTGTTTGTTGTTATAACAATAAGAGAGAGATGGAGAGATCCTCTCAACAAACCTATCTAGATCTGATTTTCTGGTTTATCCAATATATTAGTAGCAAATCTCTTAACATCAACATTAGGCAACAACAACAGCTAGCAAATCAGACAAGCTAAGGTTGTACCATATTGTTTGTTTGTATCAATAATAATATACATTCAGGGGAAAAAATACCAATAAGAATTCAATAACATAAGTATAGTTGTTAAAGGCGCGCCTAGGCTCCAAAAAAGCCCCAGGCTCGTCAAGGCTCAGCTAGATCGCTTTAACCTACTACACGCCAGACCCCTTCAATCAGGCTCACATAAAGCCCTTAGGCTTACACTTTTTGTTAGGCTCCAGGCTCAAAAAAGGCGCGCCTTGTATTTTCTAATCATTTATTCGTATCATTTCCTTTATACTTAATGACTACAAAATTAAAATGTTCTATAGCATAAATCGTATTGTTTAACCATGTGAAATATTTGACAAAATTCATAAATTTATGGTTCACTACTAACATTAAGTGCAATTATTGCTTGATTATGAATATATATAATATTATATTGTTAAATATGCCTTATTATATACATGCACCTTACTTCGATCAGACTCGCGCCTTATACTGCGCCTTGCGCTTAGGCTCCAGAAGGCCTTTGGCGCCTTAGTGCGCCTTGAGCCTTTAACAACTATGAACATAAGTGAATTTACATTCAAGATTGAGTAATATTTTCTAACAGCGAAGGGGAACTAGACAGAGGTCCAACTATTTGTGTGTTGTCATAACATGTATAGTTTCTTTTGTATGTAAAACAAACATTTTGTATTTAAAAGAGAAGAAGAATATCCAGAGTTTTCAAATGAAAACTTCAAAACTTGAAATTTGGCAGTGGATAACTTATCCCACCCAAAAAAATAAAAATAAAAATAAATTATCAGGCTAAGTATATTCTAAGAAACGTTATTGGGAATGTCACCCTTCTCGACTAGAAGTTAGGCCTTCAAATTGCCCATCCCAGGAATCCAAAAAAGGGGAAATGCGTCCATCTCCAAGGACCTAAAAACCTTTTGGAGATCCAAATGAAAGTATTAGAAGAATCACTCTCTTTAATAGAAGGAATCAATCCTCTAGCAAGAGAGACTGTCAAACCACACTTAAAAAGTAAAAGTTCAACTAAAATTAAAAAACTGCAACAACTAGTGCAGAGAAGCAAAAAACAATCCCACCACTATGATTTCTACAAACGCCTCAAATCCCCAAATTACCCAAGGCAAAACCTAACATGTACAACTTTTTCCTACAATCGCCTATCAAATAAATAAATAAAATTCAATCTTCAACTGTTTTTAATTACCCCATAAAGCATGCAAAACTAGGTCATCACGAAGGGTATTTCCACATATCCATCAAATTTTCTTAATTAATTCCAGTTTTCCAAAGGTTTTTCAAAAATAAAAGTTCCCACTTCCCAGCCCTAATTTTTTCAAGAGCGTGTTACTTTTAATATTTTATAACACTGGGAAAAGGATGAAGTCATGAGGAATGGTAAAAACAAAGCACTTACAGATTTTGAAAACTCAGACCCTGCTACAACAAAATACATTGGTCTTCCATTTCTTAAAATTTTGAAGCTTTTCATTAGTTGGTTCGTGGGGGCCATTGCTTAGTGTGCTAAAATGCTCAAACTGTCAAACGTGAGAGCGCGGGTTTGAATCCTGAGAGTGACCCCTTGTTTACTTAGTTCAATCTAGAAAGATTTCATTTTTTACCCCAAACCCTATGGTCCTTTTGCAATAACTTGGGGTCTTACACTTTTAACTTCAAATAATCAGTGACAGATAATATCATTCCAATAACAATTATGTAATATTTACCAATTGTTAAATTAAAATGAAAATAAAGAACAGACAATACTTAACAAGAAACATGCCACAAGTTACCATTTTAGCAATTTTCACTACTTTTCCTCTATCTGTTATATCTCTGTCACCTAACAATGACCACTTCTTTCAAAAGTCCGAAGCAAAACAACAGATGACTTTATAGTACTACTAACAATAATAAGATGCACATTTGATTGCCCCAATCATAACCTAGGCACATCATTTGGTCATATTTGGAGAATATTGAACCAATTTTTTTATCTTTCTAGTTTTTCTAGGCTCCTGATAATCATATATATTGCAAGTAGCCAAGTACTCTCACTTATTAGTAGCAAGAAACTCTACTCCACCTTGCCAGGATGTCTTACCTCCAAGCTACCTTAACTATGAAAGCATCAGTATCTAGATCTTGTTTATAGAAACTTGTGAGGTTCTATCATACCGACCAATATGGATTGGAGCAAATTCTGACAATCTCCTCGTACCAGGCTAATCATGAAGCCGTAGCCTAGAAAATACAACTCTATGTGCATACAAATGTCGCTTAAAAAGGTAGCAACAGTAGTTGCTAATTTGTTTTCTATTTTCCAACCAATAAGCATTGTCTACCGAGGAGCCAACAATCTCCATGAAATCTTCCCTCCTAAAATTCATATTCTGATACCCAAAAACAAGGCAATCTCAAACAAAACAGACCAAGAAATGAGACATAATTTATTTCATAGTCCTTCAAGATTAACCAATGTCCCTAAAACTAACCATGTATACCTTATAAGCTGATCAAGTCTATTGTAAATCACACATCCCACATGTATATTCCAGTCAAGCAATAAAGCCTTGATTCTAGTTAATGAGGGTCGGGTAGATAGATTTTTTCAACTAATGTCATCTTTTTTGCCATTACCTTTTCTTTGGTTACTGAAAGATTTGAGGGGAAGGAAAAAAAATAAAATAAAAAATTGGCGCCTTTAATTTTTTCCTAGGTGAACGTTTTGGCCCCTTTGTTGGTCCAACAAAATGAAAAACTAAATTCAAGAACGCAAAATGGCAGAAATAAGAACAGATGAGAGGTGTAATTATCTTCCAAAGTACTAATTGATCAATTATTGTAGATTCAAAATTTTGATTTCTCTTCGTTTCCACAATCTTTAAGCAACCAAACATATGGGTCCTAATTCCAACAATTCGAAACACATAAAGAAGACAAAATTTAAAGATGTTTAATTTTGCTTCGTCAATTTATTCGCAATAACAAGCTAATTATCCTCTAAAAAGAAGTAACGCCATTTAAGAATCCCAAAATTACACAAAATATCTGTAAATATCAGGAATCTACTCTTCTAATCACTCGGATAAAAGGAATCAAATGTACATCCAAACTGCATACATATAAATTGATGGGTCAATTTAAATTTATATAACAAACATCTATATATATATATATATATATATATATTAGTGAAGAGAGAAAGCTCTAGAGACAAACCTGATGACAGGGATGAAGAAATGAAATTCAAAGTGATCTACAGATCCCTCGGCCTTTCTGGTCATATATAATGGTTAGAGCTGTGAAGTGAGTTGACCTTGTTTTGCCTGAGTTTCTTTTTCTCCGTCATCTTTTTTTGAAAGTTTGCGCTTTTTTCTGTTTTTTTTTTTTTTTTCTTTTTCTTGCGTGCAAGCGTTGAACTCCATTTCATGTACGCTACAAAACAGTGCAAATTGGAATTGACTGGACTCATCGAAGAAAAGTTTATTCGACTCGTCGTCATTTTATACTTTTGACGTTTAGGTTAATTTCACCGCAGGCTGAAGCTTTTAATTTTTTTATTTTTTTTTTTTACCTGGCAAAGAGGAACAATCGTCAACAAATCAAACCATACAATCTTTAGCTGCTAGAAGAAGAATCTCCGGAGGAATATGGACAAGAGCGACATCCTTAAACAAATGAGTTCGAGAAAGCGCTGCAATAGCATTGGCCACCTCATTGCCATGCCTTGGAACATGGCGAAGACAAGATGAGGCGAAAGACTAAAGCGCCAGCCGAATGTCAAAAGAAATGGTGTGAATATCAACAGGCCCTGGATCAATGTCAGAGACAGCCTTAACCAAAGCCAAAGAATCTGACTCAAACCAAACCATAGTAAAAGGGATAGCTAACTCCCAAAAAACTGCTTTGCGTAGACAGATAGCCTCAGCTGATGTCGCACTTGAGGCAGGGAATTGACTAAAAACCATAGCCTGCATAATAGAGCTCAACGAATCTCAGAAAACAGCTCCACCACCTCCCACTTGAGAAGATTCAGAAAAAGACGCATCCACATTATACTTAACAATACCTAAAGGAGGGGGCAACCAGCTAGACAAAGAATATGAGAAAGGCTGAGGGGGGAAAGATTGAAGCTGACCTCGGGACAGACGCAAAAACAAAACGTCTGACCCCTTCTTGAACTCCCAAAATGAAGAGCATGTCAATCTAACAATCTGCACCGCATCCCAAAGCTCTCTACGAAAAACAAAATTATTTCTAACCTTCCAAATAAACCAACAATAGAAAGCAATAAAACCCAACACATCCGATCCCCCCTCCTTATGCCCCTACTGTTTAGACAAACATAACCACCAATCTACAAAAGAGGAATGATGATCCGCAGTAAAATCCAATCTAAACGGAGAAAGCTTCCAAACCTGCACAAAATAGGGACAATGGAAAAACAAATGTTCGATTGATTCTGCATCCAAACCACACCTAGGGCACACAATATCTACATTAAGACCACGAACACTTAAGCATTCACGGACAGGAAGAGCACGTTTACAACATTTCCACAAGAAATGCTATATTTTTGGCATAGTCCCACAAGACCAAATATTGTTCCAAAGAGACTTATTGCTCGACTATAAACCAGGACCCACCAAAGAGCGATTCCCCCCTTCCAGAAGACCATACGCCAATTTATAAGCTGATCTCATTGAAAACATACCATTGGATTCCAAATCCCAACCCAACTTATCCGCATTAGAAAAAACACTGAATCCACATTTAAGGATAGCATCAACAGTGGCAGGTAGAAAAAGGCGATGAAGCAAATCCACATTCCAGCCCTGACCTGAAGGATCGGTCAACTCTACCACAAACTGGGGAACGAGCAAATGTGGTGGTCTCGGAAGAGGAAATGGGTGCCTAGGAACCCAACGATCCATCCAAATGTTAATAGAGTGCCCATTACTCACTATCCAGCGAGAACCAGCAGCATTAAGAGATTGAGTTGACCAAATACTCCGCCAGGCCCATGAAAGATTTGATCCTAACTGGGTTTCCAAAAAAGAACAATGCTGAAAGTATTTAGCTTTGAATAATTTGAACGCCATACCGCGCTGAAGAACTTGGAAGTTCCACCCATGCTTAGCTAATAAAGTCGCATTAAACGCTTCAAAACTCCGGAAACCTAATCCCCCATCCTCCGTTGGCGCACAGAGGGAGTCCCATGAAACCCAATTTATACTTGGAGAATCTCCCGGTTTATCCCACTAGAAACGTCGAACATGTCTCATAAGGGATAAACATAATTTACGAGTCAACTTAAAACAAGACATCACATGTAATGACCCGGTCTTTTTACTCCTTTTCCATTTTTGGTGATTTTATTTTTTTTTCGTCTTTTTCCTATTTTGTCCTTTCCCTATTTCGTCTTTTTCCCGTTTATCAATTTTCCTTACACAACCTCACTTGTTGTGCTCGGATTTGATTCCGGTTTTACATGCATTCATGATATTTGATTTCCATGACATTTGTATTTTTACTTTTGTAGAAAAAACATTCTAGTTACTTACTTTTTCATAAAGGGTATGGATGCATTCTTTATTGTAATTATTCTTGATTTTGGGGTTTTATTGTAATTATGTAAAATAATTATTTTTCGTCTTGGGAACCATTTTGTAATTTATTTTGGAAGATATTTTTAAAAAGGACCTTTTTGCAATTTTTGAAAAATGTGACAAGTGTCACATTCTCATGGTGCCACTTGTTGGTAATAGGGTGGAGTGACTTGGATGTGTAATCTCTTGACATTTGGAGGGTGGAGATTCACCTACTTGTTGGCCTAGGATTGGAGCACTTGTTGGTTTAGATGGTTGACAAGTGTAGGCTTAGGATTAAGCCTAGGAAGGAGCCTTGGATTTGTGACAAGTGTAGGATCATGATTTAGTCTTGCATTGTGTGTGAGAGAGAGGTAGTGTAAGAGCACATAGTGAGTGGAGGATTACTAGACCCTCCACTCACCATTTTCACCTTCACCTTTTTCATTTACACTTGTTCTTCAAAACTCTAACCAATCCACCATTAGAGAAAAGCTTAGTTTAGAGCTTCTTGGTTCATTTTAACTTCCTTCCATTCACCTTAGACTAAAAGCCTTGGGAGAGAAAAGATACCTCTCACTCTTCTCTTCATTAACCCTAAACTTGTTTTCCATTTAGAGCTTGGTTACTTGGATTATAGAGATTCAATTCTCTATTGAGGTAGGGGTGGTAGTATGTTTATATTTTAAGTGTTTTAAAATCCTTTGGGGTTTAATATATATTGTATATATGCTTTTAGAATTGTAGTATTGCATACTATAGGAAATCCTTATGATTGACTTAGGATTTTATTAATTAAGCATGTATATTGTGTATGTATCTTGAGTAGGATTATTGATGTCGTAGATTTGAATTACTACACTATTGTGATGTTAATCCTACATTTTAGTAGATTATTACTGGTAATTGTGATTATTTTAGAAGTTTATTGCAAAAATGTTAAGATTTAGTATATAAAGCTTGTTGTTGAGGCATGATTGAAGTTGATAAGTTAGTGGTATTATTCTGCACATTATATCATTTAAAAGACTTGTCATTTTTTTATGCCATTCTAGACTTGGAACCCTAAGACATGGTTTGTGTGGTTTCAAAATGCTTGTGCATGGAAGGTGGTATATATGCCTTAATATTATGTATAAGTTTTGAACTTGATGTATTTTGAATTCTCTTGGGACATGGTTACAAGTGACATGGCTAGAGTTTGACTCTAGTGTGGGAGGTATGAGTTCTCCCAAATTGAGATAGTGCGCACTAGGGTGGTCTTCCCAATGGGTTAATGCCCAGAATAACCGTTAAAGTCTCGGCAGAATTCTGAGCTTAGATGTCCAAGGATTCCACTTTTTGATTTCGCATTCAATTCCAAGTTGACAATCAATGTTTAAGTTGTAACTTATAATTTTCGTTTCATACGATTTGATGTTATTAAGTACATCCATTTTGATATTGTGTTGCTAGATTCATTTAAGTTAGCTTAAGATGATCCCTTAGAACACCTTGAATATAAACGTAAAGTGGAATACTCCCTTGTATTCGTCTATATTGATCTTGCAATGATATTGAAACTTTAAGGTATACGCATATGCTTCTTCCTACGAATAACTTGATTACTCACCCTAGTGATTTGGGTTGTTTTTCAGGTAAAGAGACTATGTTCTTGGATGCTCATCATCCTTAGAGGCCTATGAGCTATTTGAAGTATTTTTGTGTATTGACATGCAAGTGTTTAGCATGCCTTTCTTTTGATGTCACATTTTGTATACCATGGGTGTATGGTACTTTAGAAGCTTATGTAGCTTTCTTGACATGTAATGATACTTAAGTATTTACATTTGACATTATAAGTATGTATGTAAAGAGGCCAAGGACCAAGCATGTTCACTTTTGTAGTTGTACTCCCTTGACATCAAATCTTTGCTTCAAAATGCCTTTTACCAAATTTTAGAGGTTTGACATATGAAAATCTTGTAATTGATATATATGAGGCCATGGGCCATTGTTTTACATTCAAGTATTCATATCAAAGTTGTTGGCATATCCACACATTTGAATTTCAATGAAAAATCAGTTTTACACATTTATTTTGAACCAAATTGTCATGGGATTCAAAGTATAGGTTGAACCTTAGCACCTTGGGCTCATAACAGGTTTTCCAGTAGCATTTCGAGGTGTTTCGGTCGACCGAAACTCCACTTCGGTCTATCGATGGCAATTAGATTTGTCTATGCACAGTAACTAATCATTCCAGTAGCCAATTCTACTATTCAAGGCCTATTTCGATCGACCGAAACTCTATTTCGGTCTACCGAAACAACCAACACTTAAATTCATGATTTCAGCAAGTTTTTTTTGTTCATTTCGGTAATCCGAAGCTATATTTCGGTCGACCAAAATAGCTTTCATATGCACAGTTTCCAAGTTTCGTTTTAGCATTGATCATCCACCTTCAAAGGGTCATAACTTCTTTGTTTCTAATCCAAATGGGGTGATTCTTGAGCCTAAACTCAAGGATTTTGAGTCAGCTTTCCAATTGTACCAATCCCATTCTCAAATTCTAATTACAGTAGGAGTTATTTGTGTTTTAGTAAAGTAGTATCAGTTTTCACTTCAACCGGGAAAGGGTATTTTGTGGGATTCTTGGCCAATGTTCTTTAAACCCCTTGGAATGTTGGAAAATGATTAGATTAGGTTGTATTCACCTTGGTTGACTTGTTTAGAGTCAAGTTTCTCTCTTTAATTGTGAATTGACCATTTTGCTGCTTGGATTAACGAATTTTGCCCTTTTGACCTTTGTTTCCGCTTTTGCTCTCTTTAAGTTTCGTGATCTCATGGAAGGTCACATTTGTGTCTTAGGGGTGACTCCTATCCCTAGAGACCTTGGT